GATCCCTATATTTTTTTGTTACCCTGTAGTACATTAGAAAATATAAAAAAAGAATTGTGTAATTCATTATAATGTGAATAGAGGCTAATTTTGCATATTTGAAAACGATACGTGTTTTTTCACTCACAGAACTTTCAGACAGACGAAATTATATATTGCTGTGTTTATAATTGAGTCACTTTTTAATTGTTGAGAAGCCTATTCAAGAGCGATACAAGAACAAAATCAAAAAAAAACTTTTCAGATCTTAAAGAAGAATACTTATCAACCTTTTCTTCTGAACTCACAAGAAGTCCATTTTATTATTAATTACTATCACAACTAAGAGAAGGAAAAAAACCTCTTCTATGTGTTTCAATGAAACAGACTACATTCATGAATTTCTCTATTTTCTTTCTCAGTATCTACCAACCAATTATATTGCTTGAAGACACCATTAAATAAATATCAAGGCACACAGATGATCGTTTAAATTTTGTAAATTTATAATGTTATATTATATATATTCTATTTTCTGCAACGGTATATTCAAAATTTTGAACTACTTGCTCCAGACAGCAAATATATATTTTAAATTGGCAGTTTATCAATTGTGATTCTTGAATTAATAAATTCAATTTCGTAGATTTTTACCCACCACTATTTCTAAATAATTCGTGGGCTTATATGATTCATCGCTTTACATTACTCATGCTATACCTTTTAACCGGTTAACGCCCAGCGGCATATATATAGGACAGTTCCTTTTTTTCAAAGACATTCATTGTGGTGGGAAACTTTTTTCAGAAATTTCATTTAACTGGGTGAATTAAAAGATTCTCAAATACCACAATTATTTAGATATTTCTGACTGGATTTAGAATTAAAAGGAGCAAGTACTTTTTGATCTATCAAAGACTTTTTGAATGCCCTAACAGTAGGAAAACCATTTAATTTCGATAATATATTATACCACCTTTTCCATAAAACCACTTCTTGTATCATTTCAATATATAAAGTCGGGACAAAACCGGTTAAAAAGCAGAAAAAAATAGTCAAGTATTTGTAAAATTTGCTTGTAGTTTTTTACCGTTATTTTAATTATTTTAGCGTGTGCGGAGCAGTTGGCATATCTGTATTGCCCATTTATCAACATCTCTCAAGTAAAAGCTGTATTTTTTATTTTATTTAAAATGACATATCTTAAAATGATTTAATAATTTATGTACCTAAAAATTCAAAATTTTTTAAAACGTTTTCACAAAAATAAAAATAAATTATAAATAATTATTCGAAGCTATTTTTTGCATAGATACTTGGATAAAAGAATTTTATAACTGTGTACAACATGTTTCGATGAGTTTGAAAATTCCTCGAGATATTGAGAAAGACCCAAAAAGTAGAGTCAAAATTAAGAGATTTATACTTTCGATCGCTCGCATGAACAATTCGAGAGAATTCGAAATTATCGGAAAATGTTATTTTAAAAAAATAAGCGGTTATATGAGTGATTTTGTTCCTTTGTCTAAGGCACTAATTTAAGTAGTGCAATTGATTAATGCAATTAACTAAAGAAAATTTAAGTTTTGGCTCTTGCATCTAAAATCTGTTTTTTAGTCTAATTCCGATCATTAGCTTACATGTTATTCAGAGTTTTTATTTTCTTGATACGAAAACGAGATTAAAACAATATAAAGTTAAAACTAAACACTTTATTCAATAAATGTTAATAATAAGCCAGTAATGAATCATTATTTATTACAAGATTTGATTTTTTTTAAGAAATAGTATGCATATCTAGGTATGCCGACGGTGAATAAAATTGCTAAGAGTGATGCTGATTAAAAATTTAAATTTTCTAATAAGAGATTAAAATGTGCAAATTTTTAGAGCATATTTTTTTTAGATTACCAGAGATGCCAACTTGTTTCGCTTTGTAAAAAAAATATTTTCTAGCAATATCAAAATAAAAGTCATTTTTAGTTTCATTTTTTTTCTTCATATTTTGTAATGACTTATTGAAAATATCATAAGAATTGCAGCATTATTGTTGTTATCACGTGGTGACGCTTTTAACCCTTTCAATACGGCGAAAAATCAGTCCGAGTGCGCCCCATTACCTAGATCTTTTATTTCTCCTCGAAGCGATTATTAGATGAAACAACTTTTATGCCTAAAAGGTTGAAGGTCTAGGAGACGAATAAACGTCCCCATAACAGCGCACCATCAACAACAATGATTTCACTAGCTTCATTGATGGGACAGCATATGTCCCACCGTAAACCCAAAGCATCTGAACCCTGGGATAGGGCATCACCTCCTACATCAAAAAGCCTCCACACGGTCTTTTATAAGTAGTCCGCGCAGACAGTTTAAAAAGTGAACCAGTTGTGCGCATGAACCCAAAACCTTTTATAAAAGTAATTAAGAGAAATTTATCATATATATTTGAGAATTGAACCTGTAGTGGTTGACAAGTGAATAAGGCAAACCAATAATATTCATAAATAAAACAAATTTTTAGTCATATATTTGCTATCACTTTCTTATTTAACTAGATTTTGTATTAAATGACTAGTTCGGAAAGTGGATATCCCTCACAGTGGTCTGATCGGACTACCTATAAAAAACCGTGTGGAGGCTTTCAGTTGTAGTAGGCGTTGGATAGGGTATGTCTCGGGAGGAATTCTAGAGTCAATAACTCATTTTACTTAACATTTTAAAGATTATTTTAGGCAACGTTTTTTTTATTAACATTTTCATGTACATTTGCGATAACATTTTTATTAACATATTTATTTATTCGGAATTTATCTTTTCAGAATTAACAGTTGTAAAATAAGAACGGTAAAAAATTGAAAGTAGTGGATGAACAACAGTATCTAAAGTCTGGGTTTCTTGAGGGTGTGGTAGGGCTGGAAACAGTTCTTGCACAGTGCTACGTTGCAAGAGGTGCACACTATTTTCGAGCGTGCCTTTTTCTTCATTTTCGTGCACCATGGGCATCTTCTGCGCCTTTTTCCCTAGATTGAGAAACAGTTTCCAACATTGAAAAGTCTCGCTGTTGATGATGATATAATTTTGGAGGAAAAGGGCCTTTGCTTATTGACTTACTTGCTTTCATTTCCAAATGTCAGGAGACTTTCAGCAACAGCAACGAGGAATGGTAGTAAGGGACGTCTTCGTTCAGTAACGTCTTGACGAACAACATGGGGATTAACAATCGAGGCTATCAGTAATCTGTAGAATATCTTGTTGGATTTTCGATCAACTTCGTAGCATGTTCCCAGTTGGTCAGAGAGGTCAACTCCACCCATGAACTCGATGTAAAATATTACCATTGACGGGCAGGGGAACTCCTTCTTAGATCCATCTTTTAGAGTTCTAATCGCAGTAGTAAATTCAGTGCTATGGCAATTTGACATGACAAAAACTTCCTTCGCGTCCATCCATTTGACAGCAATTATTCCCTCTCTTGTAGTTTGGAAAATCGAATTACCGCGCTGCACTTCTCGTCTTCTCGCAGTCGGAAATGTTGGTGTATTTTTTCGTCCTTTCATGTAGGTGCCAACACATCCATGGGGCAGGGTGTACATCAGATTCACCGAAGTGAAGAATCGGTCGAAACAGAGAACGATTTGGGGAATCTTCAACGTAGAAATAAGCATTTTTACAACGCGTTCTCCCAGAGTTCCTTCAGTCACTGAAGATTCTTTCCCAGTGTAAATGTTGAAGTATCCAGTCTTAGAATCGCAGCTCTCCCAAACTTTGATTCCTCTTTTTACTGGTTTCATGGGTTGGTACTGTTTCAGGCTGCTCCTTCCTTTGAATTTAACCATTGACTCGTCTATTGACTGCCTTGTGCTCTTGAAAAAAGTACGCTTCAAGCAGGAAACTACTTCTTCAATGTAATATAATTTTGAAGCATCTGCATGTTTCTCCGGGGAGTTGAAATCTAATTTCGCAATCAAAAAAAGAAAGCGATACCTACTTATCGCCTTTTGAATAGCTGCATTTCCCAGAGAACAATTTAGTGACCAATAGTGAGCCATTTGATGTACCCGGTGGTAGTTCATGATCAACAATATCCCGACTACTGTCTTGATTTCGAATTTGTCGGTCATGTGATGCATTTCGTCTGTAACGTTTCGACTGTCTGATGATGAACTTGCTTACCTTTCCTTCAATGCTTTTTTCTCCATTTCTATTCTTTCGTTCGTACATTGGGCAATTTAAACGAATAAGCTTTTAGGAAAAACTTGAAGAAAAAAATCCACTTCGGTGGCTACGTTGCCAATAGAGAGATTTGTTTGTCCCTTGATGTAAGTAACTAGTGGCATTCGTGGTGCAAAGTTAGTTGGATGGGACCATGAAAATGATGGTGGATTCTGGATATCGAGTTCTACTTCATCATCAAACAAATCATTATGATCGGGTGGAATGACCTCATTGTCGGTCTCCTCTTCGCTGCTTTCCTCGAATGTGGACTCAGTCTTTTCAGATTCAGAAGAGTCACTAATATCAGGGTAAATCCTCTTTCGACCCATCATGAGAAGAAGGAGCCTTCGAATCATTTAGAAATAGTGGTGGTTTAAAACCTAATAAATTGAATTTATTAAACCAAAAATTACAATTTATTAAGCTACCACTCGAAAATATTTATTCACTGTCCGGCACAAGTTGGCATCTCTGCAGTTGTCGGATATGATTGACAGGAGAAATTTATGGAATCAGAACGATGAGACGGCGTTAAAATCAGTTTTGAGACCGAAATGGGCGTTATTTTCTGTCCTAAATATTTTTCAGTAACTGGGACATATGTTGTCCCAGCCGTAATATCAAAAATTTTCCAAACTGTGACAGCACGTGTCCCGTCCGGTGCGAAAGGGTTAAAAAATGGGTGTAATTATTCCTTCTATTTCCTTAAGTTTAACCAACGCCTCCACACGACTTTTTGTCTATAGTTCGATCTGACCACTATGAAGGTAAACAAATTAGTGAAAGAACCATTTAATATGAAATCTATTAAAAATTACAAAGTGGTAGAAAATATATGTCTAAAAATTTGCTTAATTTATTAATATAATTGGTTTGTTTTATTTACTTGTCAACCACAACAGATTCAATTCTCAAATATATCTGATAGATATCTGATAAAATAGAATTATATATCTGATAATATATCTGATAAAATAGAATTTGGGTCCACGCACACAAGTGGTTCACTTTTTTAATTATCTGCGCAGACTACTTCTAAGAAACCGTGTGGAGGCTTTCTGATGTAGGAGGTGATTTGTTTACTCTTCAAATCGCTACCAATTTATTCAAATCTTGTAGAAAGTTGAGCAGTTTTTATATCTGGTTTACTATTGAAAGTAAATTCCGCGAAAGATTTTCCTTTAAATGTAAACTACTTGAAATATAACTCATAGAAGTATTGAAAAAAATTGGTAATAAATAATAAAAATGAATAATATTTCTACCACTTTTTACATTTTTTGTCGACTGTGATGACCTGTATATCCTGTGTGCGGAACACTACTTTACGTGAAATGGTTCCTATGAATTATAAAATAATATTTGTAATGGAAAAAAATAATATAGATTATTTTTCCATTACAAATATAAGGTCTCGCATCACGCACTAAAATGCATTATCACATTTATCTTATCACTTACTACGACACAGAGAGGTGGTAGTTTTTAATATTCACTCTAATTAAATTTTAAAAAATCCTTGGTAGATATTTATTATTAAATTGCATTAAAACTGTTGCTTGTAGAGTGATATAGATTGCGGATTTGAAATCAACGATGCAAAAATATCCAAATATTAATAGAAAACTAATACATTAGATAATAAAAATTGCGTAATTCAATATGGCGTGAGTAAAGGCAGATTTTGCATTTTTGAAAATTGTAGGTATTTCTATGTGAACCGAACTATCAGACAGACCAAACTAAAAATAGTTGAGTTTATATTTGAAGCACTTTTTAACTGTTAAAAAAACCTGTTCAAAAGCGATACGTGAACGGAAGAAATTTTCAGATTTATCAGAAGAATACTTATCAACTTTTCTTCTGAACTCTCCAGAAGTCCTTTTTATTATTATTTACTATCACAACTTAAAGGGGGAAAATACTTTCGAAGTATATCAATGAATTCGATTATATTCATGAACTTTTCTTTTCTTCTTTCTCAGTATCCACCAGCCAAATTTATTGCTAGAAGATACCTTTTACAAATATGATTGAATAGACTAGCACATTAACGTAATTTAAATTTAAAATAATGCATTAAATACCATTCTATTTCCTGAAGCGGTAGTTTCAAAATTTTGTACAACCTCAGTGAATATTATTTATTTTTTAATAGTATCCACCAGCTGAATTTATAGTTAGAAGATATCTTTAATAAACATTGGCCTAGCAAGTGAAGTTATTAATATTTATTTATTTAAAATTTTTGAACTACCTCAGTGAATATTACTTTTTTTAGCATCTCTCAAGCAAAAGGAAGCTGAATAATATAACATATTGTCAATTTCAGCTTCAATATAATGTAACGTTCAGCTGAAGCTGAATAGTATAACATATTAAAAGAAGAAATGGCTCTGCAACTGCTTTAGCAACAGAATGGTGTTGCTGCTGATGATGATAGAATTATATGCTCATTTAACACTAGGTTTACGGCACGCGTCATTTTGACGCATTTCGAATTTTATAAAGAAAATTACAAAACCCGTTTGCATTTTTTTTTTATCTCTTGTAATGACTTTCATCCATTGATGGAGGTAAATATATATTGAAGTCTATTTTCTTCAAAAACGTTGAAATATTGAAATTCTCTTTGTGATATACCTATCTCTACGGATATGCGTCAATTTCAGACAGACTTGTAATTATACATTGTTGTGTTTATTATTGAATTAATTTTTAATTGTTGAGAAGCCTGTTCAGGAGCAATACAAGAATCAACAAAAATTTTCAGATCTGAATGAAGAATACTTATCACCCTTTTAATCTGAAATCACATTAAGCAAATTTTAATATTAATTGTGCTATCACAACTTAAAGAAATAGTGAATTTTTCTCTTTTCTTTCTCAGTATCCACCAGCCAAGATTTATAGCTGGAAGATACCTTAAATAAACGTTGAGTAAGGTAATAAAATTTTTTAACATTTGCTTCATTTGAAATTCTTTAATAATTACATTTTATTTTCTGAAGCGGTAGTTTTAAAATTTTGAACAACTTCAGTGAATATTATTTATTTTCTAACATCTCTCAAGTCAAAAGAAGCAGAATAATTTATTTTATATACATAAAATTACATTTCTTAAAATGATTTAGATATCTTAAAATTTATATATTTTTAAAACTTATTCACAAAAATAATAATAAATTATTAATAATCACTTAATCATACCTTTTGCATCGATGCTTGGATAAAAGAATTTTATAACTGCGTACAAAATTTCTCGATGAGTTTGAAAATTCCTCGAGATATTGCGATAGACGCAAAAAGTAAAATCAAAATTAAGAAAACAAAACTTTTGGTTGTTCGCCTGTCCAAAGTATTGGAACCATTTCGACAGAATTCGAGTTTATTTTGAAAGTAAATTATTAAAAAAATGTGCGGTTGTATGAGTGATTTTGTCTCTTCAAAAACAGTCTGCTGCACTAATTAACTAGTGCAAATAAATAATGCAATTAACTAATGATTATTTAGTTTTCAGCCCTTGAATCATTAAAATCTGTTCTTAGGCCTAATTCCGAACATTAGATCATATGGTACTCAAAGTTTTTATTTTTTTGCAACGAAAACGAGATACAATCAAGATAAAGTTAAGACAAATCACTTTACGCAATAAATGCTTATTATAAGCCTGTAATAAATCATTATTTATTACTTGATTTGATTTTTTTTTTAAAAAAACTATGCATGTTCAGGTTTGCAACGAGTGACTAAAATTGCAAAAAGTGGTGACGATCAAAATTTAGAATTTTAACAAAAGATATTAAAATTTGCAAATTTTTATAGCATATTTTTTTTTAGATTATTAAAAATGCCAACTTGCTTCACAACTTGCTGATTTTCCTTTAAATATGAGCAATTTGATACGTAAGTAATAGTGTTATTGAATAATTAAAAAGATAATGAATAAATTTTCTACCACTTTTTACACTGACTGTGGCGTTTACGTATATGTTGTATAAGAAACACGACATCAGAGTTCCTTTGAATTGATAATATTTTTTTGTAATGGGAAAAATTCATATATATTATTATACATACCTGCGACCTTTTAACCCCTTCCATTATTATTTTTCTCAAGTGGTATTAAAATGGAATTAAAACTTCAGTTTTAAGCAAACAAATGCGTTGTATTTGAGAAAATTTAAGTTGACAACCATGATAGTAACGCATATTTATATATGTGCTTAATTTTTGTATAAATAGTGGTGATCAAAATCATTAAAAATTTAATTTATAAAATAAAAAATAGTATATATTTACTACCACTTTCAATATGAAAATAAAATCTTGCGGAAAATCCGGAAGAGTTGGCAGGTATGATTATATATTCCATTATGCAACAAACGTAATGTATTGCATTATAAACGTAAATCTTTTATCTCCATCTTCCTTCAGTCGCTACGTAGTAGAGAGGTGGGAACTGTTAGTAGTCACTCTAATTAAATTTTGAAAAAATTTCGCGTAGAAATATATTATTAAATTGCATAAAAAATGTAACTCGTAGAGTGAAACCAACATCGAATTTGAAAATAGCGACGAAGGAATATCCATAATTACGTTCAAAAACCTAATGCATTAG